CCGCCCCTCGGGGCCCCGCCCGCCTGCAGACAGACCTCCTGATGCATCGGTGGCGCTACCCGTCGCTCTCCCTCCACGGGATCGAGGGCGCCTTCTCGGGGTCGGGCGCCAAGACTGTGATCCCCAGGAAGGTGATCGGCAAGTTCTCCATCCGCCTGGTGCCCAACATGACCCCGGAAGTGGTCAGCGAGCAGGTAGGCAGGGCCGGGGACAGGCGGGCAGGGCGTGGACGGCTGCACGCCGGGTTCCTGCCGGCTCGGGAGTGGCCAGGATGAGTCATTCAGGAAGGGCACGGATGGCCAGGCGGCGGCCATCCGTGAGTGACCTTTGTCACTGCTGAGCCAGCCCACTCTGACCTCTGACCTCGCCCGAGTCATTGCTCGGCCCCCGTGTCCTGATAAACTGTCGTCAGTCACACAGCTCCGGGTTTGGTGGCTGAAATGTGGTCGCTGGGGCCCGCCGTGGGCCTGGTGCCGAGTCACTGTAGGACCGCGGAGACTCGCTGCGGCCCGGGGTTGTGGCCCCTGCAGCCCATTGTGGGCTCGGGGCCGGCCGCTCCCGCAGAGCGTGGCAGGTGCCAGCCAGGTGATGCGGCCCTTTTCGTCTGCGGCGCAGGTCACGAGCTACTTGACTAAGAAGTTCGCCGAGCTCAACAGCCCCAATAAGTTCAAGGTGTACATGGGCCACGGCGGGAAGCCCTGGGTGTCCGACTTCAACCACCCCCACTACATGGCGGGCAGAAGAGCCCTGAAAACAGGTCAGGCGCCCTCGGCGCACAGCCCGGCCGGCAGCCCGGGGCCCTGCGCCGGCCTCAGCTCACCACCGCTTGGGCTTCTCCCCCAGTGTTTGGTGTGGAGCCGGACCTGACCAGGGAGGGCGGCAGCATCCCCGTGACGCTGACCTTCCAGGAGGCCACCGGCAAGAACGTCATGCTGCTGCCCGTGGGCTCGGCCGACGACGGCGCCCACTCCCAGAACGAGAAGCTCAACAGGTGGGGGCTCCCGGGTGTCCACGTGGGCTCCCCGCCCCGCTGACCGCCCGCCTGCCCCCTCGCGAGGGGCCCCCGTGGGCCGAGGCGAAGGGCGGGGCGGCCACGTGTCTCCTGCTCGGCCTATGCCTGACGGCGGGTGGCCGCAGCCCAGAAGGACGCACCGGGCCCCCGCGCCGGCTGCGCCAGACGCTGCCCACGGTGACGTGGCCTTCCCCGGCAGGCACAACTACATAGAAGGCACCAAGATGCTGGCCGCCTACCTGCACGAGGTGTCTCAGCTGAAGAACTGAGGGCCGCCCCCGGGGCACCGAGGAATGGCACGCCCCGTCCTCCCGCGCCTGGACAGCGGCCCTCCGCCCTCGCCCTGCCCCGGCCGGGCACAGCCTTCCGGGAACGGGCAGCCGCCCGCCACCCCAGGAGTCACCTGGGCCCGGCGGTCAGCAGCGCCAGCCGGGTTTAACAGCCCGATGCCACGAGCCCCGGAGGTGGTCAGTGGCTTGGTCCCCAGAAAAGAGCCACGGTCGCGGGGACAGGTTGTGCCGCCGTGGGCCGCGGGGCTCGGGTCCCTGGCCGGTGCTCTCCCGTCCGTGCCAGGCCTTAGCCCTGTTTCCTGGGTCCCTGCTGTGATCGGCCCCCCACCCCGCCCTGGGGGTCTCTGTCCAGTCTGCTGCTAAATAAAAGGAGGAAGTGAGCCTCGGGGTCGCGCCTGGACTGCTCCCTCAACGCAGTTAGGCTGTTTCCCTCTCCCCAGCTGCCGGAGGCCGCGGCGCCGCCCTGTCCGGCCCCGCGTGCCCGGCCAAGGAGCCTCCGCGACCTCTTGTCTTCGGGGCTCCTGTGCCCTCCGTTGGCTTCCCTCGGCTTAGCCTCTGGCGGCAGGGCCGAGGGGCCCCCCTCAGGTCCTGGCCCGGGCGCGAGGTCGGGTCTACCACGGGAGTCTTTGCAGGCAGCTAGGAGGCGGGGGCCCCATCAGGTGGGGCTCTCGGGGGGAGATCGGGGCCAAGCGGGGTGTGAGCGCACAGCAGGGGCCAGACGGCCCGAGAGCCCCAGCCCCAGCCCCAGATGGCGAACGCACCCGCCCACGCTGCCCTGAGGGGCCCGGCCCTGCCCGCACCTCAGCCGGACTGCAGACATGTTGCCCAGACACTGCAGCCGCAGCCGGGCAGCGCCCAGAGCAGAGGGAGCTGTCCCCAGGCCGCCACCACCCGCTCGCCCGTGCCCGCCCACAGGCCGGGCAGCACCCGCAGGTGACACCAGGCCCCGCGCCCACACAGCCAGTCGCACCAGAGGCCTCCGGCCGCTACCCCACCGGGCACACAGGCCCGTTGTCCTCTGCCGTGCAAACAGACGCCCGCCTGTGAAGCATCTTTGTTCCCAGATGTGAATAGGTCCACTGTGCCAGGCTGTCCTCCATCCGGGGACCAGGGTGCGGCGGGGGCACAGACCAGCAATTGGCAGAGGGCACTTCGCGCCCCGCTGGGCCTTGGGACGGCGCACTCCCTGGGGCCGCCAGAACCGGACCATGGACCCCACGCTGGGGAGAATGGTGAGTAGACCCCTCCGGCCGGTGGGGTCCCGCGCCTGGCGCCCGCGCCCGGCGGGGCTGAGGCTGGCTTCAGGGGGCACAGCGCCTGGTGCAGTGCCCAGCGAGCAGAGGCCGGGGCTCCGGGCTGAGTGGCACCGGCCAGGGTGCCCACGCTCCCGGTTTCCTTCCCAGTGTGAGCAAATTTACTAAGACCGAAGAGCAGGACCCCAGTTGCGAGTGTCAGAGTGGAGGGGCACCCCGGGGCCAGGTGCCCCCTTCGCGCACTACTCCCCACTTCCCCCCCCCGGCCACAAGTGAGCCGCCGGGGGTGGGGCCCAGGCGCCTGCGCACTCCGTCCGTCCGTCCTCGCATGGGCAGCTGTGGGGTTGCTCCTCGCCTGCGCCCGCAGGTCTCCCCGGCCTGCCGCGGCCCAGGCAGCCAGGACCCTGCTGGGCACCTCAGGGGCTTGCCGGTGACCGGCGCTCCAGGGGGCCCTTGTCGCCAAAGACAGGCGGTCTGTCTCCCTGCCGGGGAGCGACGGGCAAGGGCGTCTGCGGCTCCACCCAGCGCGACGGCACCTGCATGGCGAGCGGTGCGGCGTGACGGATGGCGGGCGGTGGGGGCACCGACGGGCCGGGAGGAAGCGGGCTTCTCCGGTGCTCGCTGCTGCCCAGACCCCCTTCAGCCCAACAGCTCCTGTGGCCAAGAAGCACTGAAACTTCACGTTCAGAAAGCCTCACACATTAAGTCAGCGGGAACTGGGGAGAGAGTTGGGTCACAAGTTGTGAGATGAGAAACAGGCGGGGAAAGAGAAAACCAAGTCAGGACGTGGGGAAAGGGCAAATCCTAACCCTGGCCCTGCAGCTTAGCGAGTCAGGCCCGGGGTCCTGGGAAGAGGTCGCCCAGCCAGTCACTGCAGCCCCAGGTGAGACGCATGACGCATGGTGCCTTTCACGGAGCGGTTCTGGGGAGGCGGAAATAGAGGGCGAGATTAGAAGGGAGGGCCTGGCTGCTGCTCCCGGGCAGGCCAGCGGGCGGCCACGGCGGCCCGAAGCACCGAGGGGGCGGCGGGCGCAGGGGGCAGCTCCCTGCAGCCCCGTTCGCCTGGGCGCGCAGCTCGCAGCTGCACTGACTGAGCGTCAGTGTTCTGAATTATCGGTGACCCAGTGCCTTGCACACGGCACACTTAAAAGAATTGTGACATCGCTAAAATGGTTATTTCTGAGATACCGTATTTTAAGATAAAAATTGAAGTTGTAGTGAGTTCCATGGGGCATATAAATCTAAGGCATGTAAAAGGCCCAGGAACTTGATGCAATTTTTGAAATACCTGCATGAGAGATACGCACCCACACTCAAAGTGGGACGTCACTTTACGTGGCAGTGTTTCTCCGTAACTTACAACTACGGCTAGCTAGCTTTCTAGGAGAGAGAACGGATCTCTGTAGGAGAACCCCTGGGAAATCTCAAAGGTGGTTACAGGTCCAAAGGACTTGGTTAGAATTTGTGGGAAAATGTCAAAGTTTAAAAGGCGAAGAAGATCTCCAGCCACAGTGAAACAGAACGTTGTTACCCACTTGACCAAAGTAACAACTTGCAGGTTTCAAAGGGCAAAAGCACAACAGGCCTTCAGTTCTTTCATAGAGAAGAGTCAGTACTTAGGTAGTCGGAGAGGGTGATGTGAAATGTGGAGATGGTCGAGATCAGTCACCCTCTCTGCCCCAGGCAGATTTTTCATCTCCAAAGACAAAGCTTTTACGACCCCAGAAAACTGTCCATTAAGGAGAGGTCAGGAAATCCTAATTTTGCGTAGACAAAGTCGAAGCAGTAAAAGCCTGGGGTCTCCCTGGTGGCGCAAGGGGTTAAGCCTGGGCTCAGTGGAGTATCTGCAGCTGCTGCAGCAGGAGTTTCGGGGCCAGGGAGTGACCCCCCCGGGGCGCAGCAGGCCTCTCCCTCCCCGCCCCTCTGCGGCCTGTTTCTGGGGATCCGCCTCTTCTGCTCCCGCTGTCTCTGGGGGGTCCTCTCACCCCTGCACCTCTGGTCTGTACCCCAGATCTTCTTTGTAAAAACAAATTAAATAAATAACCATGTAACACATCCGCTCAGCTGTAGCCAGCTGACCACACACCAAAGATTTTCTTTTCTGAGCGCTGAGCTTTTCCCAACTCTTCATACCTATTTAAGAGTTTTTCTTTTAGTCTCCTTTTCAGACCTTTCAGTAGTCTAGAACAGGACAGAATCACTCTCCTTTTCCCTAAAAGCTAAAGACAAAAGCACATCTTCACACTGTTGCGCCTCCCCCAAAACCTCAGCGTTTCCTGCAACCTCTGCATGCAGCCCT